GCAGACGAGAGGATCGTGGATGGAGATGGTGGCGAGCGAGGGACTTGTAGTTGGTGGAGAGGTTGGCTGTGCAGTGGATCTACGCTTGCTGTGCCTGGTACCTGCAGTGGTAGCGCCTGCCATGTGAGGTGAGATGAAATGAGACAACCACAAAGTGGGGGAGTACTTCCTTCCCAGGGGAGATCCCGGCCAGTCCTGCCGGGCTCAGGAACGACTGGCAGCATGATCGCCAACCTGCCCAATTCTGCAGGGCACCTTCTGCTTCTGGGGTACCACGGTGAGGTGCTCAGGGTAGGGTAGGTACCTACCTACGTTTCCAAGGTACCTAGGTACCTGACGTACCTTAACTTTCAGGGCCTGCCAAGGATCGGTGGAGAACCTCGGGCTGCTTCTATTGAACCACCGCGGCGAGAGATGCCAGAGTGGCGCCGCCTCATCGATGAAAATGGTCCGCCCAGACGATCAGAGTCGATATTTCCCCTGATCCGTGCGTCCGACATCTCGGCCGGTTTAGCCTGAACCCTTGACAACACATTTGCCCGCATCCCTGTTCTTTTCGCTGACTCTCACGTCTCCAAGAGCATCTCCAAGAGCCCGGAACAGGTGGCCCTGATAGCAGAACTCGCTATACAGCCAAGCCATTCCCAGTCGATGGTCATGGGTGGAACACCGAGCCGAGCAGACGCTGTCCCCGTCCATGTGCGCTCACCCGGCTGGGGCCAAGACTGCGAGACCTAAGTAGGTTGTGGGTTTTCGCCCCCACTCCTGTGACGTGTAGTGGCACATTGGTTCTCACAGCAGGAACCGCTCAGGCGCGATTCTCACATTCTTCACCAAGGATTTGACGGATCTGGACACTTCTCATCGATGGACGCTGATTGGCATCCAGGGAAAGTTCCTTCAGGAGTGTCGAATGAGAGTGGGAGGAAAGGGCGGCGGCTCAGTGCGTCACTGTAGGATTGTTCCTCCAAATAATCCAATGCTTTCGGAGGCTGAGCACACTGCTGACGGGGTGCGCCTGGGCCTATCCGGCGAAATTCGAGCCGATTTAGGCCAAATCGAGCAGATGTAGGTCAAGTAGCCCGAGTCCACTGTATCCTTGACGAGGCTGATCTTTGGGGCGGCTACTCTTCGTCCCATAGATATCCATTCATGTGAAGATGTAGGTTGCGCAGGCATCCTCCAGCCGAAGAACACACGCTCGGCCTACCACGTTTTCTGCACCCCTGAATCCCTGGACACAACAACAACAACAGGTCTAAGTGATAGTGGTGCGTGGCGACTACGACCGTGGCCGTTGTACGAACATGAGGCGAGCATGAGGCAAACATTTGCAACACGACAAGCAAAAGACAGCGAACTCAGTCAAGAAGGGCACCTACGTGAAGGGGGTATATATCATTCATTCTATGATCCCGCCAAACGAGATGCAATGGTATCTGTCTATTTCAGCTGCCCCTCCCCTCTACGCAGTATCCAGCACAATGACCTCGGCCTCGGCCTCGCCGACGCTCTCAACGCCAAGCTTGTCCCCAGCGTGGACGGCATCGATAAAGGCGCCGTCACCCTCAGACAAGACGGCGTCGTCGCGGCCGTCTATCCTGATCTTGGCCTTGCCGCTCTTGGTCATGGGCAGGTGGACAAAGACCTTCCGCTTGGTCTGGGTGGTGCCGCGGCCGCCGATGCTCCACTCAAAGGCGCGGCCGGGGGCGATGATGCCGGCGCCCATGACGAGGTCGGCGTGGATGGGAATGGTGCCCTCGACGGCAGGCTCGGCGGCCTTCTCCTCGGCGACCGAGGCGTCGGGCCCGCCCTTGAGCGGCGACAGGATGGGCACAAAGGCGGCACGCTTGGCGTCGTCGTCAAAGTGGCGCGTGTGGTAGTTGGGCGGCAGGCCGCGCTTCCAGGGGATGGCCCAGATCTGCAGGAAGTGCACCGTGTCGCGCTGGTGCTCGTTCATCTCCGAGTGCGCGATGCCCGTGCCGCCCGTCGTGAACTGCACGTCGCCGCGGTGCATGCGGTAGAACTGGTCGGCGCTGGCGTCGCCCTCGGCGCCCTTTGCGCAGCATCGAGTCGCGGTGCGTCAGCTCGCCCGACAGGATGTAGCTGAAAATCTCAAAGTCGCGGTGCGGGTGCGTCGGGAACCCCGTCTGCGCCTTGACGCGGTCCTCGTTGAGCACGCGCAGCGCGCCAAAGTGCGTGTAGTCTGGGTTGTACCAGTCGGCGAACGAGAAGGAGTGGTACGTGTTGAGCCAGCCGTGGTCCGAGTGGCCGCGGGTGCCGCTGCGGTGCGGCGAGATGCGTGCGTGGCGGAGCGTCTTGGACATGGTCGACTTGACGGTGCTGTTGAGCATGAGTGGTGTCGAGGTGGTGCTGTTGTTTGTGTTCGTGGTTGTGTCCCTCGCCGAGAGAATGGTTGTGATGCTGTCTGCAAGTGGTGTCTTGAAGATGGTGATGGCCAGAAGAGCAACACAAATTGCTACGACGAGCGCGAGGCGCGGCATATATACTTTTCTTATCTGGGGTTCTGGATTCCGGTCGTTCCTCTGGATCAATCGAGAAGAGGCTCGTTGCAAATGTTTTGAATGATGGGTAACTGGTTTGTCAATTGACGGGAGGCTTTTGTAAGTAAACGTAGGGGGAGGGGGGTGGAGGTGGTCCTGGTCTTGTGAGATTTCGTGATTCGGCGCTCTGAGATGCTTAGACGGGATTATTCATGCTGACAGGCGGCGCGCCCCACCTGGCTCCGAGGGAACTCCACATTGCACTGCATTTGCCCCGCCAGATCGGCCTAAGCGGCCACCCCGCTTCGATGCGGCCTTGACGGGGCCGGGCCTCGAACACCTGAGTAAGCGCCGACCAATGATGACGACATGGGATTGTCGTCGTTCATTGGGTTTGGCCTGCGATCACCTTCGTCGTCCTGTCAAGACGGCTTCATCCATGACTGTTCTCCCCATCTGTTTCATGGTGTTTCATCGTCGGAAATACTCAAAGACGCCATGAGCAGTTTGATTGTCACAATGTCAAATTATCATTAGCCTCCAAAGACCGTATCTAGATCCTCCAACGCCGTCTACCATAGGTATCGCAAAAAGGCTCCCCACTAGCCGCCCCACGCCCTGCGCTTAGCAAACAAGTGACACGACTCTCGGCCACACAAACAGGTACATCATGTACACCGCAAACAGAAATGACAGCACGGCGACTTCCTCTGAGCCAAAGTGGAACGTGTACCGCATGAGGTCGAGCGCCTTGGTCTTCTGCCTCCGCTCCGCCAGCTGTTGCTTCGGAAAGTTCTTCGTGTGGGCCCACGGCACGGGCAGGCCTCGGTCGTCGAGGATCTGCTCGGCTGTGATTTTGGCCCCCGCCAGCACAATGGGCACACCCGTGCCGGGGTGCGTGCTGGCGCCGACAAAGTAGGCATTCTCGATACCCTCGGCGCGGGTGCGCGGCCGGAAGGCGAGGACGTTGGGCACGCTGTGCGTCAGCCCGAGGATGGCGCCCTTGTCGAGGTTGAACTTGTCTTCCCAGCTCAGCGGGTTGTTGACAATCTCGTTTGTGATAAACTGCCCAAGCGGCGCACAGCCGGTCCTCGCGCTGATCGTCTCGAGCACGGCGGCGCGCGCGCGGGCGACGAGGTTGATCCACGACTTCTCGTCCGTCGGTAGGCCAGGGGCGTCCACACTGCCCTTGGAACGGGCGAGGTGGCCAATGGGAACGAGAACAATGATGGCGTCGCCGTCCTCGGGTGCCGCACTCGGATCGATCCTGCTCGGCACATTGACGTAGAAGCTCGGCTGGTCGGGGAGACCGTGGCGCTTGAAGATGGCATCAAAGGACTCGCGGTATTCTTCGGCGAGGAAAATGTTGTGGGTGCCCGAGCTCGGGGATCTTGCGGTTGACGCTCCAGTAGAACGAGATGGAACTGCAGGAAGCCTCCTTCTTCTGCAGCGACTGGCTGTATGCAACGGTGCTGGGCGTCTTGGGCATCAGGTTGCTGTAGGCGTAGACGAGGTCGGCGTTGATGACGACGACATCCGCCGACAGAGACTCGCCCGACTCGAGAACGACACCAGTCGCGCGGTGGCTCTCCTCGGCGGTAGAAATGCTGGCAACGGACGTGTTGAGGCGGTATTCCACGCCCATCTGCTCTCCAATGCGGACGAGCGCCGCGATGATGGCGTGGAAGCCTCCCCTGGGATACCAGATGCCCTCGGCAAACTCGGTGTACTGGAGCAGAGAATAGGTGGCCGGCGCATCGAATGGGGACATGCCCATGTACATGACGGCAAAGGTAAAGACACGCCTGAGCCTCTCGGTCCAGAAGTAGCGGCTCGCGCGAGCATATATGCTTTCGAGGGGGTGAAGCGCGACGACACGTTTCAGCAAGCTTGGCCGCGCGAGGTTGAACAAGGACGTAAAGTTGCGATGAAGAACGTCGGTCACGGACACCTCGTAGTGGGTATGCGCCTCACGCATCCAGCTCAGGTAGCGCGCAAACCCTTCCTTGCCCTCCCAGCGCTCGACTTCAACCTTCATGGTCGCCAGATCGGACGAGTGCTTGAAGAGCTCGCCGTCGTGGAACCAGACGTTGTAGTTGACATCCTGGCAACGGAGGAGGTCGACACCCGAGTCGGCAATGGTGGTGTCCAGATCGCGGAACGTCTCATGGAAGAGCTGGGGCAGCAGAAGGAGCGAGGGACCTTGGTCGAAGCGGTAGCCCTCGTGGTGAATGAGGGAGCAGCGGCCGCCAGTGAAGTCATTCTTCTCGAGGACAGTCACCTTGTAGCCAGCCTTGGCAAGACGCGCAGCAATGGCGACGCCACCTGCGCCGGCACCTAGTTGGCAGCAAAGGCGTCAGATAAGATCAGAGTAGAGGCAGGCGTCAAGGGTTCCATGGGTCTTACCGACGACAATGGCCTTTCGAGGCTTTTCGCCTGACTTCTGCATTGTGAATACTTGCAAGCCGTTTGTCTGTTCGTGTGTCTTGCTGTAACGAGCTTCAATGTGGAAGGACAGAAAGGCCACGAAATTGTACAGGGCAAGCTTGCGTCTTATCGCGACTGGAGGTACAGATGACGAGGAGGGTGACTGTACTTCTTGTCAAGCAGGAGGTGGTAGCCAGAGATGAACAAAGTAAGACACAAGAGCTAACATGCGGCGGGACTACAGGTAGGTAGATGTAGAGAGCGCATGACGCGATGAAGAAAGGTCTCGGTCCAATACGTATCCCATGTGCGAGGCTAGCCACCACTCGCGCATGATGTACCGGTAGGCGGAGCTCGAGGAAAGCCTCCGGCCATCGTGTCCGAGGCGCGTGGTTTCATGGCACGAATGTGCAGTGATGACACTTAGATTCGGGAGATGCATGCAAGGGAGCTCAGTGGCAGGCCTGCCGGGGGGGTGGCTTGTGACAGAGCTTGGCGTGCAGAAAGTCGAAGGTCCTGGGGCAGCCAGGCGATTCGCGAGTAGAGACTGGTCATTGCGTGGGCCGCAGAGGCAGAATCGAATCCAGACCAGAAATCCAGACCAGGAGGGATAGCAAACCGCGGTGGTGATGCTTGGCCTGTGACACTGCGCCTGCTGCGAGAGGTCAGGACTGGGACCAGGCAAGTAGCCGGGAGAACAGGCCGAGCGAACGAGGGCTCGGGTGGAACAAAAGGAAAAAAACTGACAGTTCTCATTGGTAAGGCATGTGTCGAGGGGGGCTTGGCCTGACTTGGGGTTGACGTGTAATGGACGTCGATGTCGAAAGATACTACAGTACAAGCAC